ACTCAGATGATGGTGGAGAGGCACGCCAACGTCGAAAACGCGCAGCAGAAGCCAAGATGCGTAAAGCTTTACTTGCAGACGAAAAGATTGGAAAGATTGCACAGAATCCCAAAAAAGAGGCTTTCCTTCGTGCAATCGAGGATAGAGGAAGTGAAGATGAGATGGGATTTCTAGATAACTTCCAAGAAAAAGACGATACTTCTGACTCACAATCTCAAAGCCAAAACGACGAATCTCGGCAATCTGCACCAAACCAGGCTGGAGAAGTCATGGGCCCTCCGTCAAAACGTAAGCATTCCGATAGCACTGGTTATGTTCGACCACCACCACACTTGAGACGTACAGGGAAGAAGCCCTCGAATCTATCAGAGGTTCGAGAATCACTGTCAAGTCTTATTGAAGATCCTCATGCTATGGTTACTTCAAAAATTCTCGAGTCTGATTCAGAAGATGATCTGGAAATTGAAGGAGGTCCAGAACAAGGGACTCAAAAGAATCGTGATCCTTTCGCCATACGCAGAACTGGAACTTCCATCATCGACAGAATACAACTGAAGCGTGAATCTTCGAGCAATGTTGCTGCCAACAATGAACGTCTAGCATTCGCAGCACCTTCATCGCAACCAGGTCACAGGGTAGTACCTCTATTGAGAAAAGCCACGACAAATAGCAGTATTTTATCTGGGACATCAAGCACTGGTGTAAGTATTGGTATGTCAGCAACAGAGCGGATGGCTGGTGGGAAGGACGAAGGATCAGGCATCAGGAGAGGAGGAGGCAAGCATAGTGGAGTGAACTCTTTTGTTAGGGAAAGTGAACGGAAAGCTGTGATGGAGAAGAAGGAGAAGAGAAGAGAACAAAAGAAATTTAAGGGAGTGGAAAGTAGGCGCAAGGCCGTTGGTGGTTTGTTTGGAAAAGGTACATTCGAATGAGGGTATCCTGCATTGGGTCAGACTGGATTGTCTATTTCTGGATCAGCATTAGGCGTTTCTGGTGAAAACAAATCGGCAGGAGCCATAGGACTTTTGAGATTCGATGTTGAATTATTCATGATGTTAATGCCAAGATTTCATATCCTGATCTGTTCTGCCATGTGATATTGTAGATTGCTGCGCCCCCACGAATTTTATTTGTTGGAGGAACAAGCAAGCTTCAAACTGTAGTTTGCAATACTATACTTACATCAAAGTTCATAATGAGCCATCACACAGCATGAGAGTCGTTTGAGGGCGGTGTTGCAATAAAGAATAATGTGCAAATCGAACCAGAATAATGGACATAATTTCATGTCATATATCAGCCCATATATACCAGTTATTCGCGTCAACCTTCGACAATATAACTCAATCATCTCCTTTGCATCACAGCCCATTGTATCCTTCCAAGATCATCCCAACAAACAACTGCAAGCCCGAGCACGCGATCAAATGCCACAAGAACTAAGTGATACAATTTCATACAAATCATTCTTCATCTGGTTCACCGTCCATGATAATATCTCATCCCAAATAATAATAGAATTAGCATAAAGTTACCACATAGAAATTCCCAAGACGTACACACTTCCCCTGCATACGAAGTACATACCATAATGAAGTGGATTTTCCTTCCAATCTTATCTTCTCAAACCCACAATAAGTGACCGGATAATAATGTGTAACATGGACGCGTCTGGATTTTCTTGCGCATCCGATTGCTGGAATGAGAAACCAAGTTGCGGCCGGCTGAAGTGGGCTGAGAGTAAGGAACGTGGGACTCGGTGGAAGAGCCGGAGTGGAGGAAAAGAATAGTCTATCACGAAATAGAATCCACTTCTTTTTATCAGATCTTTTTTGATCTGATAAAGAAAGGGGTGGAGACCCATTGACTAAGACGCTAGAGACCGAGAAACGGACGAGGGACGAGGGAAATACCTGTTATATTGTCGGTCGGAACTTCTTACAAGTTGTCACTTAACGAACTTCCTTTTTATCGTTTGTTTACTCGAGTCTTAGGTTGTGTTTCACTTTGAATCAATAAAAGGAGAAGAACAATTCAATTGTTGAAAAATCAAATCTTCTTACAAGTTTCTGGTGTGTAGTCTAAATAAGAAACAATCACACGTCAACATCTGATTGTTGTTCATTCATATCCATTTCCTTATCCTTATCGTCATCACTATCGTCATCATTCATACCACTCCTATCATCTACCACAACATCTATAGTCTCCTCTTCCTACACAACACACTTCAAATTCGAAAATGGTAGTATTCATCGATTTCGAAGATGATTCGGAACCTCCAGAGCAAGTGGGCAATGAATTGAGCCATTTGCAGAATGGAATAAATGGATTTCAAAAGCCTGTTTGGGGCGGATTCGGGGAGGCGAATAAGGGAGCAAACGCACTTGCATTGACGTTGGATCAAGACGACAGGGTGAATCCAAATAAAAATGTCATCACAGAGGCATTGGGCTGTTATCCGTTAGTTCTTATTCATCATTGATTATATTCACTTGTGAATCATACAATCAGGAAGAGGCTAATATTCCCGCAGTATCATATCTGCCATAGCATCTAATATCGACCTCAATACTCTCGATGCACTCTCTCATACATGTCGTCAAGTTCGAGTCAATCTCCTTCAATTTCGCTCCAAGCTTCTCACATCAACCCTTCACTGCGAAAATGAGGATGTAGAGCTCGATCCCGAACATACATTTCGTTATCGAGCGCGGGCCGCAGATTACTATTTTGTTGAAAGCGGACGCGATGCACATGGTAGTGGAAAAGTGGGTGATTGTGCCAGAGATCTGGTGGGAGAGTGTCGCAAGTGCGGAAGGGTGGTTTGTAGGGTATGTGTTATTAAAGGATATTGGGATCTGTATAGGCGCTGTGTCCACATATTATAGAGGCTAATTCTGTGCAAACAGAACTGCACTATTAAACCACCTGGCCCCGTTCTCTTACGTCATCGTCATCGACGCATGTGTAAGACATGCTCGAAGGCTCCTCTTTCTTCTTTGGTCGCTGGCTCTTCATCATCATGTTGCCCCTCTTCTTCCTCAGATACACATGATCACACCCTTTCATTATCCCCTGAAATAATTAAAGATTCTCTCTGCAGTTGTCCAACAGCTGTCTGGCTCTGTCAGCCCTGCGGGCGATCCCTCCGCTCCACCGATCAAGAATACGAAGGCATCTGGAAATGGCGTACACGCTACCTTCCATCTTTAGGTGGTCTCGGCGTTGGCATCGGTGAAGGAAATCGTGGTGTTCCTTGCGGCCGTGGTAGTGCCTGTCTAGCTGCCATAGAAGTAGAACAAGAAACCGACTGTGACGCCGAAGACGCGCGTGAATTCGAAGAATCTAGTCGAGCCGGGTCTCCAGCATCTAGTCCTGGAGGAAGTATATTTGGAGGCACGAGTCCTAATAGCAGCGAGAGGAATTTAAGTCTAGGCCCTGGATATGCAAGACATGAGATTGAGGGGATCGGAGGGGTCATGAAGAAGAAGAGGGTTAAGATGGTGAAGGTAGGGGCTTGTGTGCCAGAATTTGGTGATGAGAAAAGTGAGGGGAGATATTTGGTTAGGGAGATGGAGGGGAGGGCAAGGAGTTGGTGTGGATGGTGTCATAGGGTTGTTAAGGGGAGTGATGATGTCGTCTAACGAGCTAAGCTAGCGAAGTGGTGGATCGAGTGGAAGGGGCAGATTGTGGGAATGAAAGGCTGCAATGAGTATCGAAAAACAAACAAAAATTAAGGATACTGATATTTCTGGTAGCGATGTAGATAGATGCATGAAAGCATAGCACATAACGTGCACGAAAAGTGGGAGTTAGGATACCTAAGTATATACACATGGGCGATGATGATATGCAAGCATTAGGGGACGAGGCGTTTACCTATGAAATTAATGACATTTTGGTTGTTCATCTTTCCATCACAGACCCATGATCTTATTTTTCAATTAACAAGCTAAATTGGTGAAGCTAACTACTCACTTAAACCATTTGCAGAATATCAATACGCATTCCAGGCGAAATGAATATCGTGCAAAAGAGAGATGTGATCCACTTTTTTAGATCATCGAACTCACACGATAGATATTTTCTACTTGGTTCAGCAATTTTACAAAATCATTATAATCAAAAACTTTTCTACTGGGGCTTAGAGGCAAATGAGATAATAATGTGATGATATGATGGCGAGACTTCCTTCTCCCTTGCATCACTCTAACCACACTTTCAATATCCACGTACCAAATCACGTTACTTAGGCCCCTCTTCACAAGTTTACCTCTTTGTTGCATATCTGCTTTGGAGTCTTGAGCTTAAGCTTAGAGGAAGAAGTCTGAAACTTAGTGTTTTCGAAATCGTGGGTATTGCACGTACTAGGTAGTTGGTTATATTCGTCGTTTTTATATTCCCTAGCATATCCACTTCGCGGTGCTCGTTTAGTTGGGGTTTCTAGAATTTTTTGAGAAGTGTATATGGTATATGGTTGATATGTGATGGTTGGATGTATGGATGTGTATTTAACCCACTGATCTTTTTTCTCGCTAGCTGGAAATAATTTTGATATACGGTTTCTACTTCACGCTTGTTCTTTCTTCATCACGGCTTTTGTAGAGATTGCTTGGATTCGAGGAGGCTTTTTCATCACTTGATCTGGATAACTTGAACGTCTGGTTGTGTGTGTTTTTTTTTTTCAAATGAGAGGATTTTTGAGATTTTGCAAACAAATCTTCAGGAGATTAGGAATTTTCTTTCGGATATCAATGAAAATTGCTATGCTCATCTTCTTGGGATCATACAGGAAGTGAGAGAAGCACCGTAGCGAGGTCAGAGAGAATAGGAGCTAGATGACATCAAGTCTACGCAAGGAAATTTTCTTCATAACTTTGTAGATAGCTCATAAATACATGAAATCGAACAAGAAACCATTAGCATCGACTTTGAGTGCGCCCCTCTATCTCTTATTCAGAAAGATAAAGAAAAACATGACAAATCCCCTACATCTCTCCTTTCTCCCATCTCCCAATTGAAATCTATCTATCTATCATTTCATCTTTTCCCATCTCCTAACCATTATAATCTCATCTCCAGCCCACTAAACAACACTTCCCGGCTCCAACGCCGGCTCATCCTTCTTCCTCTTAATCTTCTCCACAAATCCCTCGTCCAAACTCTTCATCTCTTTTTCATGTGTACTTTTTACCCTTCTCAACGACCAGAAATTATAAAAAACAAATAGAATGCCCGTTATACATGCAATGACGCCGGTAACTATCGCAGTAACCCTATGCGCAGATGGGGAGTAAGTAGATGTATATCACAATATAAAAACACAATTTGGAGGAAAAGAAAACATCCAAATTACTCTCCCTGCTCGCCCAACAAAATCAATTTTCCACCCACCTAGCAGTAATACTCCACGCTCCCTTTTGCTGCCCATAAACCCCCACCAGCGTCCCCACAAATCCCGCAACACTATTGAGACAACCCGGCAGGAATATCTTATTCAAAAGCCACACGTAATTTCGCCGATGTGTATGCCACAGCCATAGCATACCCATTGCACCAATACCACAGCTAAAACTTGCGATCCAGAGAAGAGGAATATTTTTCGCGGCGTGGAGAATGTGTTGGGTGGTTGCATCTGGGAGATCGGAGGGAAGGGAAGAAGAGGGAAGAGATTGGAGAGATGTGAATGTGCCTGGGAAGATTATGAAGCCCGCCAAGAGTATCCCTCGACGATGTTAGAGTAAGTGGAATGATGATTGGGGAATAGAGATTCGAGAGGTGAGATGACTTACAACTAAAGAATGATATGTATATGTTGTGCATACGGGGAATAGTGTCAAGAGAAAGAAGCATATTCATATATCTCGTTTGCACGCTATTTTGTCTATTCAAGCCATCTGGTCTCGCAGATTTCAAAGTCGAACTTCCTGTAATAGTTGATGAATTTGATTTCTTCGATCCATGACGGCAAGGTTGAGAGGTCGATTGGTGGATTGTTTGGATTTTGAATGGCTTTTGCGAAGTAACTTGAGATTGTACTTTTGTTGTGCTATTACGATTAAGTCTTCCATCGCCGGTGTAGGTACTTTTGGGTGGGTCTATTGGAAGGGTGTTTGATCGAGGCATTTTGGATAGTAATTTTGCAGTGGAGCTCAATGTCTTAGTTTAAAGTGAACTTCATGTCAGGGGAAAGTGGACGTTTATGATTCAAGCTAGATAACATGTGAATCATTTGTGGAAAACAAAAATTTATGGCACAGTTTTGTGAATTGGGAATATCATATCATGTTTTGGACGAGATGAATCAAGGTATCGATCGGTTTTCCAATTGAAAACTATACTACCATGCCACATGGAAAAAGTTGCCACAGAAATCATAGCTTTATTTTGACACCATTCGGAGAGAACTTCTGGTATTGTATTGAATCAACGTTGATCACAGTAACCGATAGGAGGTTATTCGTAGATTGTTTGGTATCATGGGGGTGGGGTCAAAATCAAGATTTACCCCTGGCGCTTGCAAATGCGTGATGACGTGAATTTGGTTCTGCGAGGTGAATACGTAGACGAAGTCCTTTTCAAATTTGAGAAAACTACTCAAGATAGTATTGCGAGCAGAGAAAAACTTAATTGCAGTCCTCATCTGAAAATGTGCACAGTAGCTTATGTGATAGGTTCAATTATTGAGTCTTTCAAATATAGAATGGACAAGGAAGCTTTTCCTGACATTTCCGGTATTTCCCTACCAACGCCAACGCTATGCAAAAAAGACAATTCCTCATTAGACTTCCTATTTTACCCCAGCCACAAGCAGGTCTAGCATACCCTTGACCTGCATCGCTTTTTGTGACCTTTCTACTTCTGCCCTTACACGTCGATGTAAGAATCTGATTTGGCGTTCTAATTCTGGCGATTCAGAGGTATACTCTGCGTATATGTCCAAGAGCAGCATAGCAGCATCAGTACATATGGGAACATATCGAGGATCAGTAATGTGTTTTGATACCCATTTAAAAATCGGTTGTATCGTAGTCTCGTCACGCTTTTCGAATGCTGCTCGCATGGCACTTCGGTGTCGAAGAGCTGTGAGAAGTGTAAGAACAGTGACTGCGGGAAGACCTTTCTGGAGTACACAATCTAGTGCTTGATGATATCGACCGAGTTGGAGTTCACGCTCCCATTCTGGGGCCTTTCGCTTTGTTGAACGTGCATTACCCTCAATCACCACATCTGCTCCTTCTCCCATAAAATCCATTCCTCTGAGTCTCTTTTCTACTCCGCTAGTGTGTTTTCTCTTCTTGTTCTTCTTATCGTATTCCTCTAATGTACCGTCGAGCAAGGCTTGCATCTCTTTCGCTCTTTCTCTTTCTTTCACCTTTTGCTGGCCTGATAGTCGTGTTTTGATGGATAAGACACCAGATTGCATACCTACAACCAAATGCTTGTCCTCGCGATTGGCACCAGAGCTAACAACATTGACTGACAAAACAGGAGCTGAGTATTTGAGTCCAGTTACAACATTCCATCCCGTGGTTTCGAAAACCTTGACATGGCCATCCAAGCCACCACTAACCAGTCTAGTAGCGTTTGATGCGAGGCACAACGAAGTGACAGTCTTCTGGTGGTTCTTGATGATGTGCAATGGCTTTCCAGCAACCAAATCAAGGACCGAGATTTGGTTATCAGCTGCAGCAAGAACGGTGGTCCCTGAAGGCATAGGAAGTACAGTCTCAATTGGTGCAGCATGCTTAAAGGTCATAGCTGCTCTAGTTGGAACTCTAGGATCCCATAATCTGACAGTCTCATCGTAACTACCAGTCAAGATCATATTCGACATCGATCCAGGCATGAAAGCACCACTTCTAACATAATCGGTATGTCCAGTGAAAGTAGTTGTACTTTCTTGACTTGGCAGATCCCATAGCTTAACAGTCCTATCGTCACTAGCACTCATGAGAGTTGTCAATTCTGTTGGCGAAAACTTTGTGGTCCAAACTGGCTGCTTGTGCTCTTCCCAAGTTTTTAAGATGGCTCTTGAATTCACATCAAAAACCTGTATCTTTCCCGTTTCGTCACCTGCCACCATAACACGTCCATCTCGTCGAATCTCTCCACTATGCGCAACATCTGAGAACCGAGTAATAGTCTTTACTAATTTTCGTGTACGAACTGAGTAGATCTGGAGTCGAGTACCAGTAGTAACACAGAAATAATCATTGCCGGAGGGCGATAGAGCATTTGTTGGTGGAGGAGGGAACGATATGTGCGTAATAGGATAATTCGTTGGTGATGGTATGAGTTGCTGGGAGCGAAAGCCCTTCCAATATCGTTGTTCAGGTGTAATTGGCGAGGGGGCAGTAGGGAGTTTAACCGCCGGTAGACCTGTCACTGGTGCGGACATCTTGATTACTTGTGAATAGAAAAGTAAAATTAAGATGTCGCAGAAAGAATTTAATATTTCAGCTTGAGAAAGCTTGCGATGCGATTCGCAAAAAAAAAAGTTAAGGGCGGAATCTGGGTTATTTTTCCCGACAATCCACTAGGCCATTTCAAGTTAGCCAAGGCTATACCTGCCAATATTGGAGTTCAGATCTTTTTAGCACTATTTCATCTGTCCCATTCATGATGTCTGAGTTTGAATTTGGTAAAATATACACAGTACTTGATATTTTATTCCATTACTCTCAATGGCAGAATCCCGTTTGTCCCAAAACTCTCTTCATGTACATACCCCAGCCTTGGTAGTGCTTTAGATTGGTGCATACCTAGCTATATAGTGGTAGGACTACAGTTTTATATCTTGTTGAAACTCACAAGGACAGTATTGAGGTAGTTGATCTCGGATTTCTTCGTATCTACAAGTGTGGCTCGCATCTACCTTTCCATATCTTTCCCGTGGTCCTTTGAATCATTTACCACTATTATCTATCATTAAGTTCCACACATTCTGTTATTCATATACCCACAAGTCACAAATTATATCCAAAGTCTACAGAAGCGTGAGAAGATACTCTGTGGCTTTACTCTCGCACAATCAGTCTAGGTTGAGAGGGTGAGATACTCCTTTGCTAATAAGCACTTGTAAATCAATATCTCCCTTGTCTTTGGTTAGACTGCTCTCGGAAGAAAATTGACGAATCAAGTGGTACATCAATGTTGAGACTAATGGTTACCTGTCTTCTTTCTGAATATACTCTGCTCTATTCTCATCTCTTGTCCTGATCAATAATTTTTATATTCTAGTCTTGGGGATACACCGCATATGATCTATCTTGTCAAGGATACTAGAAATGATCTCCCATGACAGAATTCTGCAGTGAAAGCCCCAAAATTGATGAACATGTAAACTCAATTGCTCTCCTAGACTACACGCCTATTGCTACACAGAATTTCATCAAAGTGTGACCAGCTAAGTCAGAAGTCGTGGGTAGTTTCATTCACTCCTGTGATAATACAACTTCAGAAATCTGCCCGCCAAATTCACAAACGCGTTTTCTGTTGGATCTTGACATCACTATAAGAAATGAAAGCACCAAGATCATCTGGCCAAAAATTAAGCTATAGCAGTTACAATCTAATAAAACTCTCGTCCATAACTCATGTCTTGCGAAACAACCGTATTTATGATTATTATTATTCAACGAAGAATCCGGAAAAATAAAAGCCCCAATGTCTTTTGCTCGACAGAAGAGCAAGACGTCTCTCCGAAAAGAGTCAACCAACCTCCCCGAATCTTCTTTGCACAACCTCCTGTTTCCCAAACTTGTTACTAAATTCTATCACAGCTTCATTCCTGCAGCCCCAAACGCCAAATCCAATCATTCTGCGCCGCAAAGCAAAATTGACGATCTCAACATCAACCACACAGCCATGACTACAATGAACCAAAGAGGATCAGTAGGTATGTCTGTGCTCAATTATGCGATTCCAAGACTTTCGGGTTGTATTGAGGATTGATTATAAATCGTGGGATCATTTCATTCTCTTTCGCTTGTATGAAATGATCAAAGGCAAAAATCGCCAAAGGATTTATCAGCTATTCTTCGAGGTTCGATGTTGCTCGTCGAGTGAGTGTTTGTATTTCAGTGGGATCGAATATTATCTTGACGAGTATCACTTCCACCTCCCAGATAACTATTAGATACCGTAACAGCTACTCCTCCCCCAAGAACGGCGCTCTGTTCTTTCTTACACCGCTATTGATGGTCCATCCTTTTGTCTCGATATGTTGATCAAGGAAACTAACCCAATTGCCAATAAGACGCATGCGACAATAGCCAAGATGATAATGTTAGACATGCTGTTGACGGCCTCGCTCTGTGTACAAGAACGGCTCGAGGTAGAGTGACAGTAGGAAGACTATTGTGCAAAGGTTGAATGAAGTCTTGATGTTACAGACGTGTTTAGATGATGAATGTAGTAGAGAGTGACAAGAGTAGTGGACAGTAAATTTGCTTTGTAAAAATAAGCTAAGGCAAAGAAGGCAAAATTGCGATGTGGAGAGAATGCATGAGATACTGTTGATGAACAGAAGAAAGCAACAGAAAATACACGAATGCCTCCACCTTTATATATTTGTCAAATCTTCCTTATTTGCACACATTAAAACTTTGTTATTGGGGTATTCTCATTCTCCTTGTAAATGATTGAATCTGTATAGGGTAAGTCAACTAGGGCATTCATCCAGTGCATGTACTAGTTTACATGGAACATGGACCCTTATGACAGAACTAGAAAGATACAACGCCTACTTGCCGTATACGCGTCTTACTCGTATCAGCACCGAAAGCTACCTAGATTGAAGCTTTTGAAATTAACATATCGCTCTCCGGATTTAAAAAAGTTATCCATTCCAATCAGATTCTAGCCTCGTGTATGTTCGTCTACCATTCGTTGAATATTATGTTTACGCGAATACGCACAACTGCAAGTTGCCTTCTGTTGGCTAGATCGCAAATGAAATCGATTGATTAAGGTTACTTCAGCAGTTAACTTCGTGTATGTTAGTATTTAAGGCCCAGTCAGCTGTCAAAACCCGGCTTGAGACAAAACCCCTTGCAGTAGAAGCTACCGACCGTTGGTATTTTAGGAATTGAATTCCCCACTACATCCAGATGAACCAATCGCATTACGCTGTGTACGGTTCACGAAACATTGTCGCAACAGGATTACAAGGGTGTAAACTGCCAATCATTTCTAGGTCGTCTATCATCTTCCTTGTTTCAGTCAAAGAATCTTGTAAGGGCATACTGATAAGACGCCACAAATATTAACACCTTTTACAAGCTTAGCGGCATCAATATTATAACGAATGCTATGGCCTACAGTCGTTGGAAATAAAGTTATATCCACTGTAGAGCTTCGATACTATGAAATTTGTCTTAAAAGTTAGGGCTTATCTTTCTGCCTCGTCTCGTAAGGACCCTGTCAGTACAAGCGGGGTTTGTACCTAAAATTTGTACCTAAAATCGAATCATCTTATTAATTTCGTTTAGCGTTCAGATATTTGATATTCATATATCGAAGTATTCGACATAGCTGCAATGTATTGTGGCGGAGTCAAATCGATTACGTGTTATTTGCTTTGCGGAAGTTCCTCTTCACTATGTGTAGCTGAGCTTCATGCTCCTTTTCATTTGCAGTTGCAGACTTTCTCAAAGGGATCCGTGTCTAGAGTTTATCCATTTTCCAAATTGGCTCGTAAGGACCTGGCTGTCTTACGATAGTGGCTTGTCTGTCAAAAGTTTTTCATGTAGAACCATGTCATTCTTCACAGGAGCTTGTACTGCATCTCCGAGCGAATCGAAATCTTCGACATTACTATTGGGAAGCTTGCCTTTAGTTACGGCAGGTCTGAATGATTGAATAAAGAATCTGAAGATCTAGGATCAGTGAGCCTTGCTACGGATAGGATTTCAAAGGCTAAGTTTTGTATGATGACCTCGACCTTTGACTTCTTTCCCCTATTATCACCATGCAAAAAGGCCAATTATTTCTGTGGTAATGTCAGTCAATCACTAACTTTTTGTCTTCTCTCATCATGAATGGTAAGAGTAGTTAAAAGATGCCCTCAGGAAACCATCTGTTCCAGGAAAAAATCTCTTCTCTCGCCTCGCTGCAATGGATTGCAACGGCCTGACTATATTACCTTTTCTATTGTCCTCGAATACATGATTGGATAACTTCACGACTAAAGTAATTCCTCGCCATTGCTCATGATCCATTCTTCCATTGAAGATATATGTGCAATATATCAGTGAGGGACACTGATGAAAAGATATAGCAACGCCACATAGAACATCAAAGCCGTCCATCTTCATCTACATTTAAGTCTATATCCAAGCATTCTCATCGGATTACTTACTTGGACACAGCCACAGGCCATGTATAAAAAGCTAATCAGATCGCTTTAGCTCGAACTATGTACTTGTCATTGAAGAGAAGCGATCATGCGATCAAACTTACAGCCTAGTAGCTCAAACTTCCACTTGCAATATCTCTGCTCTCTCAAACACGAGCTGCGGATCTTTTTGACAACAAACATGCACATGGTATCTAAATAAATATCTTTGTGCTTGGGCTACGACAAAAACGAGACCATTATCAACAATCACAAATTCAAGCTACGTGGTACAATCTCGTACTTTTAAAATCTCAGCAATAGCTATCATGTAGTGCGTGAAAACACGCGCATAGTCATTGTCTAGCATGAAAAACTCTTTGCTGAACTTGCGAAGAAGTATTTTTCATTCCTGATGTCTTTGAAGAATGAAGGGAGCTCGATCTATGATGAAGCAGTCAGCCCATTTTTCAACAGGAAATCGAGTTCCGAATTTCAGATTGCAGCTTGCAGATTTTGTAGTCAAAAACAGAGGAAAAAGTAATTTATTTTGAGAGTTCTATAAAGGAGAGTCGAATCGTGTTAAAATACATTATAGATGGATCCATTCCCAAACCAATCCATCCATCTTTCACCAGCCAAAAAGAGTGCGGAATGATACATGTATATATATTTATCCCACGAATTCTCATCTCACTGCCACCACAGTTTCCCTTAACACAAGTTAAACTAAATTGAACTTAACAACCAAACCAAACCAAACCATTTCCAAGCTTCCAATTACAAATTCTACGAATCAACCTCCCTGCCATCCGATCACAACTACAATCTCCTCATACAAGACAGGGAGAAAGTGTATACTGTAGTCATATAAGATACCTAAATATATATAAATCCCAGTTCGGTAGTCACGAGATGCTATTATAAATATCCACTCGACATACAATGTCATTCTCGGTGCGAACTGTGACTCCCTCTATAGCTATGTAGCTGTAGGCATTTCTCAGTTCGATTTTTTGTGATAGATACGCAACAAGAAGAATTTGAACGGGATAGCAAGA